GCTGCTGAAAACATAGATACAATGTTGCGGTCCGAGCCTGGCTGAATGGAAGCCCTTTTCTGGGGTTTTGTTTAGCTTCTTATTTGCAACATAGTATATAGTTGCTTAGAGTTGCAACTGAGAGGCTGGCAAGTGAGGCGGGGAATGTTGGAGTCTGCAGCAAGCAAGCCTCGTGCTCGCTTCAGTGCCTGGCAATTAGCCGCCATCTTGTTTGTCAGTTAATTTGCATATACTCACTGATTAGCCAATGAAAAGGGTAGCGGTCGTACGCCAATTACCATGTTTCTCTTTTATTAGTGTAGATATATATATATATATATGAGATATGTGAGAAAAAACTACCAATTTAATAATTTATACCCATTACTATATTTCCTACCTATCTTTTTAATCCTTGTTTTCTTTGCAGGAGAGGAAATTTGTGGGTGGATCTGGTCAAGTGTGTGAGCGGATAATGGACCTCCTTGGGGATCAAGTGAAGCTGGAGAGGCCTGTGACTCACATCGACCAGACGGGAGAAAATGTCCTTGTGGAGACCCTAAATCATGAGGTGTATGAGGTAACCAAGAGCCTTAAACTAAGGGAAAGAGGCCAGAGTCCCATAGATAACCAAAGCTTAAATAAAATCAAGAATGTTCCAGACTTTATAGATCATCCCTTTGCCAAAAGTGGAAAAGCTAACTCTATTTGAAAGAAAGAAAAAAAGAACCAGAATATTTTGGGGGGAGGGGGGTTATAAAAACATATATTATCAACCCTCTGTATTGAGCTCCTACATAATTAGAAAAACAAATAAAATATTTATTTGATCAATACCAAGTGCCTTCTATGTGCCTGGCAGTATTCTAGGAGTTGGGAGCAGAACATTGAACAGAACAGATAAAATTATTTGCCTTCAGGTGGCTTACATTCTCATGAAGGAGAAAGTCCATAATCAAATATATAGTTAAAATATCCAAGCGCTGTGGAAAAATCAAGCAGGGAAGGGGGAGAGAGTCTGCCCTGAGGTGGGGGTGGGACAACTAGTCATGTAATTTTAAATAAGTCATCAAGGAAGGACTCATTCAGAGGTGATGTTTGAGCAGAGAACCAAAAGAGATGAGGCATTAAGTCATATAACTTTCTGAGGAAAGAGCATTCCGGGTAGACAGTACAGCCAGAGCCAACGTCCTGAGGTAGAAACAAGCCTGGCATGATGAAGGAACTGCAAGTTGGTCAAAATGGCAGAATTGAGAATTGAGGGGAAGAATAAGAGGAGGTGAGATCAGAGATGACTTGTATGGTCTTGGAAGTCTGGGAAGTGACCGTGAGGAACTTGGTTTGACTCTAAGTGTGATGGGAAGTCATTGGAGATTTTGAACTAGGAAACAATAAAGGCTCATTTTGGTTTTAACAAGATCCTTTTAGTTCTTCTCTTAAGAAGAGAATGAAGTGGAGAGAAGAGTTAATTGAGGGAGAAACATTAGGAAAAAAGCACAACCCACCAACAATGTTTAACCATCCCCCCCTTTCCAGGCTAAGTATGTGATTAGTGCTATTCCTCCTACTCTGGGCATGAAGATTCATTTCAATCCTCCTCTGCCAATGATGAGAAACCAGCTGATCACTCGTGTGCCTTTGGGTTCAGTCATCAAGTGCATCGTTTATTATAAAGAGCCCTTTTGGAGGAAAAAGAGTGAGTACTTTCCTTAAATAAAGACCTTGGGAGAAGGTCAAAGAAACTTGGTGCAAAGACATACATTTGCATGTAACTTTTTATTAGAATGCTGGGCATAAAACATTAGTCCAGGTTCTAAGTACAATTCCATCAGATAAAATATATTGGCACAAACTCAAAATTATCTTCCATTAGAATATGACCAACTCTTTTTCTCATTCTATATAAAATTTATTTAATCCTCCCACAAAATCTTGTAAAAATAGGTTATTAATACCGTCTAATACAGATTTTTAAAGTATGAGTTTCATGTAAGGTGCCAGATCGGTACTTGAAACATTGGGGAGACCACTTTATAAATTCTAACCATTATGCTGTACACCTTAAATTAATGCAAAGTAATATTGAATGTAAATTGTAATTGAATTTTTTTAAAAAATGAGTTTATAGAGGTATTCACAAAAGTGGAGATTCTGAAAATTTCCAGGCAAGTTCTCATTTGTGTCAAGATTCTACTATATTAAATTAAATCATTTTATTCATTCAGATATATTCAGCAAGTGTGCTATGATACTGGGAAAAACATTACAGGGATGCTCACTAAAAGTGCTAGATTCTGGAATGATGGAAATGCACTAGAGCTGCTCTGTTTAATATGACAGCCATTAGCCATATGTAGGTGTTGAACACATGAAATGTAACTAATGAGACTAAGGAACCATGTTTTTCTTTTTCTCTTTTTTTAAATATATTTTTATCGATTTCAAAGAGGAAGGGAGAGGGAGTGGGAGAGATAGAAACATCAGTGTTGAGAGAGAATCATTGATTGGCTGCCTCTTGCACGCCCTACACAGGGATGGAGCCCACAACTCAGGCATGTGCTCCTACCAGGAATCAAACTGTAACCTCCTGGTTCATGGGTTAACACTCAACCACTAAGCCATGCTGGTTGGGCACATTTTTCTATTTTATTTTACTTTAATTGCTTTAAATTGAAATGTAAAATGCCACATGCAGTTAGCAGCTACTGTATTGGATAATACAATGCTAGAGTCTTATCACATTTACTCTGATCGCATCTATTTTTCTTCTGAGAGAAGGCCACGTGTGAACAGTCAGTACCTGGGACTGAGGGCAAAGAGAAGGATGGACTGAAATGAGGAACTAAACTGCAGACAAGGGAGAGATTATGCTGAAGACAGAGAAATTTTCAGTTTTACCTTAGGGTGGTTCTTCCTGTATATATCCTTTTCTAGCCACATTGTAGCCTTCTAATTCCCCACCTTTGCAGGAGATCCTTTTTAGGGCCACTATTAAATTAGTTCATTAGTCGAGAAATAATCTACCCTTGGCAAAGGACAGTGTGTAGTGACCCACCATGAAGAACATGCTGCTAAACTGCTTCCTCTTGTGATTCAGGTCACCTATCTTCCCCTAAGAGCTCATTCCTGTTTGTTTGATTGTAGTTTGTTACTGCTTTTGTCATTGTTACTCTCGGTAAAGAACGTCATTAAGCTTTGCAGTTTTTCTCAGTGTTTTTCCTGCCTCAGCACACCTGAGAGGAATACAAACACCCCTCATCCCAGTGGCTGACTAGGACGTCGATTCTCAGGAATGCACAGTGGGAAGGGATGTGGGAGGAGAGAGAGAGAAAGAGAAGTAAGTGCAGGTTAAAAGGCCTTACCGGTGTGTCTGCTCATATGCAGGTCAAGGCGGTGCACACCCTCCAAGTTCTTTCTCTGTTCTTTCTTTCTCATTTTGAAACCCTCTTATTGGATTTTCTGTACATTTGTTTTAGAGTTTTTAACTATAATTTTGTTCAAAGAAACTCAATTTGCAAGTAAATGATGGGCCAGGAGGTAGGGTGCACTGTAGTAGGATATTGTTATAACGTTTTAGATTCTGCTTTGATATTCTCACCATTTCACAGTCTTTTGTTGAAATCGCATATATCTTGTTCAGGAGGGGAATGAGGCAAGCCCTTTGTGCAGAATGAGCTGAAATTGTTGCTCAGGTTGTTCTGGAGATCATGTTTGAAATGACGGTTTCGAGCTCTGTGCGCTCATTGTAACTGCGATGGGGATCTTGATAGAGTGATGAGTGTCTTCTTCCATTTTGCTGTCCTTCCAAGATTACTGTGGAACCATGATTATTGAAGGAGAGGAAGCTCCAGTTGCCTACACGTTGGACGATACCAAACCTGATGGCAACTATGCTGCCATAATGGGGTAAGGCACAGTTATGGTGGTATGAATGCTATTGGATGTTGACAATGTATTCCCATACTATTGATAATGTCCCAAACTTTTAAAAATAAATTTTTACCCAATAGCACTATTCTCCCAATCCAGCAGCAGAAAAATTCTTTTATAAATACTGTCTTCCAATGAATAAATATTTAGAAAGAAATTATAACACCAGCAACATTTTAAAATTTGCTATATTAATTTTCTGCTTCTTATGTAAAGCTGTGACTTGATATATTTCCATAAGCTATCTTTTGTGAAAGCATGATATGAAGACCTGATTTAGGGTTTTTATTAAGAGGGCTTCTTATGGAGACTTTACCATTATGTGAACATCAATGGTATTTATGTGGAATGATGAGGTTTTCCAAGTCCCACTAGAGAGGAGCCAAGACCAGCCCAGTCCCAATCTTGGCAGGGAAGACCAGCACAGATGGGGGCATATCTTGGGGGACAGAACCTGTTCCAGAGAGGTGTCACTTAGAACAGTCAAAATTAATATGAGCCCTAGAATATGTATGAGTTTATTTCAGAGAGAGTCTAGGGCAGTGATGGCGAACCTTTTGAGCTCGGCGTGTCAGCATTTTGAAAAACCCTAACTTAACTCTGGTGCCGAGTCACATATAGAAATTTTTGGATCTTTGCAACCATAATAAAACAAAGACTTATATTTTTGATATTAATTTTATATATTTAAATGCCATTTAACAAAGAAAAATCAACCCAAAAAATGAGTTCGCGTGTCACCTCTGACACGTGTGTCATAGGTTCGCCATCACTGGTCTAGGGTCAGAGGAGGGAGATCAAAGATAGTTGCGAGGTGGAAAGCGATCATACAGCTACAAATGGAGGCAGATTCTACTAGTAGAAGGGTGGCCACTAGGGAGACACCATTGGGTAGATAGAACCAAAGGACAATGGGGTGGATGAAATTGGAAAGGCTTAGACATGACTTCGTTGGACATTCCTGTTAGCCACCAGCTATGTAGAGAGAAATGGGTCAGCCATAGTATTACCATAGGCAGAAATTATAGCTAGTCATCTATCTTTAGCCTCTCGAATCCCTAAAATGGAAGGTGCATTTCAGTGTCTGGAATATAACATGTAAATAGCAAAACATTAAATAACTACTGTATAATTTGTTTCTTTGGCTTTACTTTTAACTTGTGCACTAGGCACATGTGTAGCTATAGAAATGAGGCCAAGATGAAAGCAGCAATTAATTTCCTCCTGTTTTGCTTGTTTGTATGTTTTAGATTTATCCTTGCCCACAAAACCGTAAAACTGGCACGTCTTACCAAAGAAGAAAGGTAAGAAAAATCGTGCTTCTCTTTTTCCCTCTTTTCCTTCCTTCCTTCCTTCCTTCCTTCCTTTCTTCCTTCCTTCCTTCCTTCCTTCCTTCCTTTCTCTGCCTCTCTCTTCCTTCCTCTCCCTTCCCTCCCTTTCGCCTCCCTCTCTTCTTTTCTGTCTACTTGACTGCCTTTCAATTTTACTTAACTTTTTAACTTAAATACTGCCTAAAAATACGTGTTTCCAATGTTACATGTCTGCTGTGTTAATTATAAGGATCTTGTATAAGGGCACAGTGCTTATAACTTAAGAATCAAGTATTCAAATAAATATTTATTGAGTTTATTGTACATAAGATACCATGAAAGAAGTTAGGGAGAATACATAATACCCATATCACCTGAGAATACAAAAATGAATATAGCTCAGGAGCTAAAAATTTACTTGGGGAGAATGCATTTCTAACAAGTTCCTGCTGCTGGGATCACATTGTTTTACATCATTAATGAAAAGATCGTGTGAGTTTGTTGATAAAACTTAAATTCTGAGACCTTAAGTAACCTGCTCAAGACCTTACAGTTCATAAGAGATAGAAGCAGAATTTAAAGCTTTTCTTGCTCCCTTCTCTTTCCGCTCTGCCTATTGCTTTGCAGTGGAGTGGGAAAGGGATGAGTAAGGATCACGTCTGCATCCTCCCAGAATCTCCAGTGCTTAGCAGATTGAATGACACGTAAGACTGCAGCAGTTCTCAACCTGTGGGTCGCGACCCCTTTGGTGGTCGAACGACCCTTTCACAGGGGTCGCCTAAGACCATCCTGCATATCAGATATTTACATGATGATTCATCACAGTAGCAACATGACAGTGATGAAGTAGCAACGAAAATAATTTTATGGTTGGGTCACAACATGAGGAACTGTATTTAAAGGGCCAGAAGGTTGAGAACCACTGCTTAAGAGGAACACAACATTTTTTTAATGAATGAACAAATTACTGTGTGCCCCCCAGTGATTCAGGCAATGCCTCACTTTATTTTCTATTTGTGACCTCATTGATTTAAGACATTTGAGTTAGAACCAAGTGCCTTGTTTTGAAAAATTAAAATGAAATGTCAAGTGGAAGCAATGGCTCACAGTCTTTTTGAATGAGGGGGTAGGTGCCTCTTTCATATATTGTTTCACTTCCTTCATTTTCACTTTTGCCCCCACTCCTCCTCTCATAGGTTGAATAAGCTTTGTGAGCTCTATGCAAAAGTTCTGGGATGCCAAGAAGCTTTGCAGGTAAGGCTGCTTCTCAACCCTTTCCCTAAGAGAGAGGGATGTCTTGCTTTGTCCTCAGGGACTAGCAGGGATAGGCTCATCAGTAGGGCCCTAGAACTCATGGTTTCCCTGCTTTATGCTTGCTTTGTTGTCTATTGTGTAGAAAGAAGCAAGTCCTGGGAGCAAGGAAAGGTGGAAGATGAAGTCCACTCTTCCTTCTGATTGGCAGGAAACAGTCAGAGGAGGGTGCTTATGTGGTGCTTGTCACCCTCAGATGCAGAGAGGGCAGAGGGCTGGCCATCAGACATTTTTCAGACCAATAGTTGTTCATGAGTATCATCAACAGAATTGCCTATACCCCATGAAAACATTAATTTGTCTGTCTAGCTTCCTTCAACAAAGCTCAAAACATGAATCCAATCATCTTTTTTCCTTGACAGACATGTTTTTCTGCTTTTTCTACTCCAGTCACTCCAGAAGCAAAAGTCTTTTTTAAAACTTGTCTTGAAACCACTAGGCACTAAAACTTATTAATAGTTAAGACCAATTTTAAAATGGAACTAAACAGTTGCAGCTTATGAGCAGTACCTGAGATATGAATGAACCAACTGAGAAAACTTTCTGAAGTCAAAATTTCTTATTTTATTACCAAGGATATTTACCTGCCCAAAGACATATCTCTTAAAAACATCAGGATAATAAGGCTCTACTTCAGACATATGATGGTTCTTTAATATGAAGCTTATTAGAATGTGTTTGGTTTACTCTGGAGTGGATTCCCTTGAGTTTTCTTTGAGCTTTTGTCACTCTACCATGCAGCCGGTGCACTATGAAGAGAAGAACTGGTGTGAGGATCAGTACTCAGGAGGCTGCTACACGACCTACTTCCCCCCGGGGATCATGACTCAATATGGAAGGTAGAGTAAAGGTTTGCTCATTTTAATCCAGATTCTAAACAGGTTCATGTAGCTCTTCTGTTTCTTATGAATGTTAAAAATCCATAATCTTGTCTGTGAATTGTAAATCTCATGAAAGAAGTCATAATTCTGCATCATGGGGTTGCATTTCACTTTAAGTCCTTTGAAGAAACAACCCCAATCAATATAACCAAAGAAGTTTGCAGCATCATAATAGGAACTTAGAGGGTTCACTTATAGTGTAAGAAGTACCTTTATACTGAGTTTACAGCTCAGAAAAATTTCCTCAAATGGAACTGTATAAGTGCCAACATGAGTACATTATAAAAGCAAAATGAGTTCAAGACTGAAGGTGAAGGGACTTGGGCTCCACTCCTGATTCTACCAATAACCGACTTTGTCATCCTTCATAGGTCACTTCACCTTTCTTATTGGGTGTATGAGAAAATACAAATAGCATATAATAGACAATAATCAGTATACTGATAATCAGTTTTATTTTTTAGCATCTTTATTGCGATATAATTCATATACCACACAATTTACCCAAACAAACAAAATGCATAATTCAATGATTATTAACATTCACAGTGCTTTGTATCCAAATATGACTCATTGGTGTTTAGTTAATTGTATTTGATGATAACAAGGTGTGAATTAATGATATAGCAGTAATTATTACGAATATGAGAGTAATATTTAACCAAGCAGTAATTTAATGTCAAGCTCAATCTAAACAAAATAGGAAATGTAGAGTAGTGAGTAAAAGGCTGTTGAAAGTGTATAATTAAAAGAGGGTGTGAATAAATGTAAATGACTAATCAATCTATTCATGAAAACCAGTCAAAGAAATATTAAAATCTATACCTGTGAGAATGTATAGAATGATTTTGGTTAGCACTTTCATCATCTTTCTGAAGATAACAAATATCATCTATGAGAACACCTGATTAGTTACTGGGTCAACAAGTTAATTTTTTGATATGGTGAGTGTAGAATATGTCAATAGCAATAGCTTCAGTCAGCATTTAGTGGCTAAGTGCCAACCATTTTCTAAGCCTTGTGCTAAAAACTTTGATGCCAAGAAAAGCCCTCTCTGCTATGAAGGAGCTGATGGTGTTGGGGGCTGGGGTGGGAATGGGGATCTAAGAGAACATCAAACATTGCTCTAATGCTATGGTAATGACACTAATTACTACGGTAAGTACTCTAGTAGAGGAGTATACAAATACCACGGGTGCCTAGGGAGTAATAGTCTAGCCTTACCTAGTGAAATAAAAATGGCTTCATAATACCCATCTCACTTGAGGATTGTAGAAGGCAGAGAAAGGCTATTGGGAAATGCACTCTAGGCAGAAGGAACTGTATGAGCAAATGCTTGAAATCCTATAAGTTCATGGGATGCCTGGGGGGAGGGAAGGTTCTGCATGGCTGGGCTCTGGGTGATACTGCATTCCTGAATGTATTATATGAAGCCAGCCTGTTTAGTTTTCTGATAAAAGGTCGGGTAATATATAGTGTGTTATAATGTGCATAATATATGAGTGTATGTATGTTAGCTTTGGACATACTAAGCAAAACATAGGGGATAAAAACAGAGACCTTGCCCAGCCGGCATGGCTCAGTGGTTGAGCATTGACCTATGAACCAAGAGGTCACAGTTCAATTCCTGGTCAGGGCCTATGCCTGTGTTGCAGGCTCGATCCCCAGTAAGGGGCGTGCAGGAGGCAGCCAATCTATGATTCTCTCTCATCATTGATGTTTCTATCTCTCTCTCCCTCTCCCTTCCTCTCTGAAACCAATAAAAATATATTTTAAAAAACAACAACAATAGTGACTTGTTAACTAAACCTGCCAGGTAGCAAGGTCTTTGTTGTTTGTTAGTCTGCTATTTGCTAACAGTGTGGCTCTTGACAAGTCACTACACATTTCTCCAATATTCAGTTTATTCATGTGTAAAATGGGATAATGATAATAGTCACTATGTCATAGAGTTGATTGAAATGATTAAAGAAATAATTCAGTAAGGAAGGGAATATAAACAAGTGGTTAAGATTGTGTGCTCTAGGGTCAGTCAGATACCACCTCTCCCACGTACTAGTTGTGACCTAGAAAAAATTACTTTGTCTTTGGTGCTGGTTAGGAAGCAGACTAACCAGCAGTTAGGAAGCAGACTCTGAAACAAAGAGCACACAGGATATGTGCTAGGGACAGCATTTGGTATCAACACCTGTGAGAGAGGAAGGAAACAGGAGTGGGCAGAGGGAGAAGTTGGCCTGTGATACAGTTCCAATGAAGGCCTCAGCTGTCCCCACAGGGAGCTCTGGAGCTAGGATGGCCCTTAAGAGTTGTTCCAAGAGTCTTTATACCCCATGATAATCAGTCATTGGATGTAACTGCTGCTGGAAGGAGGCATGACCTTGAGCAAGACAATTTTCTTCAGCTGAGGCAATCTCCAAAGAGGACTGCTATCAGAAGGTCATCTTCTGGCAATACTTCCAGCAGCTAAAAATAAGCCCTTCATTCTTGATAGGGGGTCTGGGCAGTGCATCACAATGTCCACTACAGTCTCTGTACCTCTATATTCTCATCTGCAAAATGGGGATAAAAATAGGACCAACCTCATAGGGTTGTGAAAAGGGCTAATGCACTTAGAAGAGTGCTGGGCATCCAAATTTGTTAACCTTTGTAATGTAAAGCAATAAAACTCAATGCTGGTAGAGGTGAGTGCTCATGAATGGTAGTTTCGGACTCACAGATACTGTTACATGTTACTGATGGGAAAGGTCTTAGAAATCCTCGTAGCGTGTCCTTGAAGAGATGGGGAAGCCAGAGTGGTGATTTCCCAAGTTCATTGGTGAAATAGCCAGGTAAGGAACTGGGGCATGTGTCAGCTGATAAAGAGTTAGTGAGCCATAGCAGGAGCAACACATGACTTCTTGTAGGTGAAGGAAATACATGCTCCATTGATGTTAGTCCCTTTACTTGTAAGCTCTTGGCACAGGAGTGGACTTTGTCTGTGACAAGAATCATGCAAGAAGAGCCGGAGGAACCTGTGAGCATATAGAATCTGAGGATACCAACCAGCCTTGGTCATTGTGGGAAGGTTCTTTGGTTCTCTGATACTGACCACTTTTACCTCTTTGCTTTTGTTTCAAGGGTACTCCGCCAGCCGGTGGGCAGGATTTATTTTGCAGGCACAGAGACTGCTACACACTGGAGTGGTTACATGGAGGGGGCTGTGGAGGCTGGCGAGAGAGCAGCCCGAGAGGTAGGGCCTGGGGTCATGGGTTGTGGGGAAGGAGGCAACTCATGGGCCTGTTAAGTAGGTTAAAGATGTCTGAGATCTTGGAGGCCAACTTTCCAGTAGACACACGAAACACAATTTGGACAATAGTCTCAGTTGAAGTGAACACTTTAACCCAAAAGTAACAATGAAGATATCTATCATGTCAGCCAAGATAAGAGAGTCCACTGGACAAAAGATCACTATGGCTCTCATTGAGAAATAACCTAGGACTAATATTATAGCACCAAACATGTTTCTATTAGGACTCAGAATTCATTTTTATATTTCCTGACAATTCCTGTGATCTCATGCCTGTTAAGTCATGTTCACAAATACAATTTATGATGAGCCTAATGATTGGAGCCTCTTATGCCATCAATGAAAGACTTTTGGGGACCTTTTAAAGGTTCAGTGGACTATGTTAGCTGCTACTCTGGTATTTTTTATAGATATCTCGAGACTCAGTCCTTTATTTAAAGAGCAGATTTGGAGAAAGGTGGTGTTACTTTTGTTATTCACCAGGATATTCGTTCTTTTCAGATCCTGCATGCCATGAGGAAGATTCCAGAGGATGAAATCTGGCAGTCTGAACCAGAGTCTGTGGTAGGTTATATTTTATTTCATGAATTCAAATCTCTGTTCTTTAAAACAATCATTCTCGCCCTAGCAGCCATGGGCAAACTACAGCCCGCGGGCCGGATCCGGCCCGTTTGA